CCAAAAGAGAGAAGTTATCAAATCCACTGTACCCCTTTGTGATGGTATATTTCTAACCAACAGGTGTGTGTATTTGATATTCAATACATCTTGTTTAAATTTATTGATTTAACATGCTTGTATTGAGTAACTGTAATACTACAGACTAGCAGAGACCCACAAAACATTTGTGGTCAAATTAGTATCTTTTATTGCAAAAGTACTTCTTTAGATACAAGGTTTCTAGAATAATACAAATGAGTTGTAATTGTAGACACCAAAATGTGTAAGTCCACTTGTACATAGGCCATACTTTATTAAACCTTAACTGATGTGAGGCCTAAGTTCGATAAAGAAATAAATTAATACTGTAACCTGTGTAAATTTTTTACTTTAGTTTACATAGGACTAAACTTTACTGTACTTAATACTATCAATAAATGTACTTATAATGCTATTCTAAGACCTAACTTTAAGCTTTTAATGTAGTTATAGAAAATGGTTAGTAAAGTAGATTTAGATGTGCCTTTAGTTGTTATTCCTTCATTCATAGAGCAGTTGTAGTGACTTTTTAACTCAGCTTTTCAGCTCTCTGCTACAGGTTGGCTGGTTATTGTCCAGTGCATAATGTGTCTGCATGTTTTTTATTTGGGTAAAATTTTTACTGTGCATGCTTATAATGCATACTGACAAGCAGAATTATAGTATGGCCAACATGTTTGTAAAAATGACCAAAGAAAACAGATTGTCTACTTTAAGAATTAGATTGGTGTTTTAATTTTTTAGTTGGTTACTTTAATTAGCATAACATGCATAGATATTGAAGATGAGCATACAAGTTGAACATTTTACAGGAATATGGTAATTATTTATTTTCGTATTCAATCTCAGTTTCCTTGCAAGTCATTTCACTGTAATATTATGGAGATAGATGGTGTTAGAAATATTTCTTTGGTATTGTATATTAAATTAGTCTACTCTCTTTCAAATTTAAATTTTGATCTAAACTCTGCTAGATTTTTGAAATACTAAATACAAAAAAGAACATTATTATACATAAACAGTTTTAATAGTTAATATTTTATGTATACTTTAACACACAATAAGTTTTTATAATCAAATAAAAGTTTGTTTTGTATAAGTTTATAATTTAGATTATTTTTACAGCATTGACAAATAATTAACTAGTTTTCTCTTGGTAAACTTTTAGATAGCATTTTATTTTTATTTAAACAGTATATGTATCCTGGCATGTATATTTGACACTTATGTATGTTAATAATGGCTACCTATCCATTGCTACCTATTGTCAGCCATCTATCATCCATTTTTACCTGGCTGTTCAATAGTGGATTAAGTGTTTTCCTCACCATTTCTCTCCACTTTGTTCTAGTTCTTTTTTATCCATAGACCTCCTCACCCTCTTCACATGCCTCTTCCTCTCTTTTTCCCAGGCAATGAATATACCCTAGAACAAATGAGAGACAACTCCCACAGATGTGTCCTTATGGAGCCCCTGCCATTGGGTGTCACACACTATGGCTTTCCTTCTGGCACTTTCTGAAGGGAACTCGCCTAGGTAGATCTTTGCACCAGCCTCTCCAACACTTCAACTTAGGATCCTAGCTTAACTGTGCAGAACTGTGTATCATCCTGGACGTTAACATTTTCCTTACCTGAAAATGTATTTCTGACAGATATTCACATCTTCACTCACATTCTAACCCTTCCCCCCATTTCCAATGCACCTTAGTATTCCTTGCCTCGTCAAAGAATAAAGATTTCTGAGTGCAAAAGCATAGAGGGAGTTAGTGCACAAAGAGGAGTGTTGCCCTCCTATTGGTGGAGAGTTTTTGCTGCATAATAATGTCATTGTGTAGTAATGCAACTCACAAGAAATGTAATGAGATTAGGTGGGAATTGCTTAAAGGCTAGTGGTGTGCAAATCTCTAAGGCAGATGCATAGGAAAGATAATTTTAAGTGTGTGTAAAGTGTGTATCTATTGGAAATGCATTTTTAGGTAAGGAAAATGTTCAATTTAACAACAAATTTCAAGTAATGTTAGAAGTGTTATCATTATTGGTTGTTTCACTACAATCAGATTATGATAACCAAACCAATAACAAAAGTATTTGAAGTAGTTGATACATTTATGGATCCTTTGATAGTATATGCTTCTTGTTACAAACAAGCTGTTTGTCTTTTAACAAAGTAGAATATCCGCATCAGGAAGAGAAAATTCCAAGGGAAAAAAAATTAGCATTATCATCAAAAAACTTGGAAATCACCAGATGGCTAGAAAAGCAACAGAAAAAAGATTCCACTGACTCTCAAGATTCCACAGACAAAATGGCTGAAACACTCGTAATTGAAACAAGCAAAAGAGACATTAATGGAAAAAAAGGTGAACAAAAAACAGAAGATAATCTGAAAAATGCCAATGATTTTTCAGGTTTGTAAGCTATTGAGATGTGTAATTTAGTAAATGTTTAAATTTTTAAGACTTAGTTATCAAAAATAGAAGTAATTTAGTGATTGTAAAGAAAAATTGTTTCATAGTATTGTATAATAAGCATTTGAAATCATTATTTTATTTAAAGAAAGAAATTAAAAAAAATATTGGTTGAATATGGGAATTGACCAATAAAGATTTAGATCTTTGTACTGTAAAACTACTATCTAGTTCAGTTTAACCTTGTCGAGAGCATATTTCAGATGTCAAATATGTTTGAAAATGCATTTTCAGTTTATGAAAATGATAACTTTGGAACCCTCTCCAACAAGTCAATGTCCTTTCTAGGATAAGGAGCCTATGTACTCTAAATGTGGCCTAACTATTGACCTATACAGTGATGTTGTAACATCTTTGGACTTGTATTCAATATTTCTGTACATACAACCTAAAATCCTATTTGCTTGCCACAAGTAACAATACATTGCTTAGACAGCTTAAGGATCTAATGAACCAGAACACCAAGATCTATTTCTTCCATACCACTGTTAAGGTTATTCCCATCAGAGTGGTAATTCAGATTGTGATATCCCACATGATTACCTTGAATTTATTATTATTAAAAGCCATCTGCCTTTTATTCACCCAACTCGGCAAATAACTGAAATCCTTTTGTAAAGCAGTAGCATCCTCCTCACAGCCAGCAACACTCAAAATTTCAGTATCATCAACAAGTTTAAATAATTTTATTGACCGTTCCTTTATCTGTGTCATTGGTGTAAATGAAAAATAGCAAAGGTCCTAACACTGATGCCTGAGGTACACCATTTATGACATTAATCCAGTTTGACTGAACTCCATTTATAATAACCTGCTTTCATCTAGCCAGTTTTCTATTCAATGAGCCAACCTATCCCCTACACCTACAGAGATATAACTTTTAAACAAGCCTTTTATATGTTATGTGGCACCTTGTCAACTACTTTCTGTAAATCAAGATACACCAAATCCACACCTATACTCTTATCTACAAGTATTAGCTTCTTCAAAGAATGTCAAAAGATTAGTAAGGCAAGATTATTCTCCAGTGAAACCATTCTGGCTATCCAAAAATAATTTAAACTTTGTTAAATGACTTTAGAAAACATCTTTTATTAGAATTTCTAAAACTTTTTCTATAACTGATGTAAGACTAATGGTGCTATAATTGTTAGAACAGGTTTATCAAATTCCTTACTAACTTCCAATCTTTTGGCACCTGCTCATTTTTCAAGGACTTGGAAAAATAGCAGCAATTAGCTTATATATCAAATCATTAACCTCCTTCAAACCCTTTGTTAAATATTCTCTCTCCCAGGAGCTTTATCATTCTTTAACTTTCTAGTTTTTTTCTTAAGATAAGAATTAATGATCTTCTTTATCAGTCTAGTGACTATTCAGGATGAGGAACATTGCTTGAATCTTTATTAGTATAAATTGAAGAAAAAGTAGATTTTATTAACCCAGCCGTCTCATAATCATCAGATATTTGCATACCCTTAATATCTTTGAAGAAATCCTAACTGGTAATTTTTACATTTTTAATTTAAATTTTTCATGTTGTTTTTTGATTTCTTAATTTCCCATTTGACCAACTCTTGATGTTTTCTAATCCTCCATATCTCTCATCGTTGCATCAGTTTAAACTCCTTATATTTATAATGCTTTTCTTTTCTTTTATCCTTCATACCCTCGGTTTTTCACTTGCAATCACCTTTTTTATTCTATAAAGAACATGCCTATCTTGATCAATATCTACAGTTATTTCAGTTGCCAAATTCATGACAAATAACTCTTGTCTCATTCCTTCAATTTTTTTATTATTATTATTTTAAATTTGGAACCAAAAATCTCATTACTCCCAATCTCCAAAACATCAAACTTAATTGAGAAGTGATCACTTGCACCTCGATGTTACCCATCTCTACTCTTATCAACCATTTCTATATGAGACATTAATAGTAGATCTCAAAAAAGCATTACAGATATAGTTGTTGGATGTATTCCACATGCTACAATATTTTTAAAATTCCAAAAACAGCTAAAATGGATAGAAAAAAAAGATATCAAATAAAAATGTTTCATCATTGTAAAAATGTGGCATCATCAGATAATGCCATTTTAACAATAAGGAAACATTTTTATTTTATTCTTCCTATCCCATATTATCCTTTTTCTAAATTTCTAAAAAAACATTGTTCCTAAAAGGTTCCCTGACCAATTGGTGAAAAAAAACCCATCTGGAACAGTTTCTAAAAAACCTGTCTCCCTTATGATTTGACTTCAACATTTCCCAGTCTATTTTCCTTAAGTTAAATTTCCCCATGATTATCACCTCATTAGCAGCTGTAGGTGTAGAGTTTCTCATTAATTGCATCAATTTCGTGTGGTTGTCTGTAACACATTTCTGCTGAAAGCCTTCCCTTATAACCAACAACCTAAACCCAAACAGATCTTCAACTTGAACAGAATGCAATTTACATTACACCTATAAAGCTGCTCATTTTTTCTCGTTCTAGTACTCTATTAAATAACCTATAACAAGAAATATATCTTCCCTCTCTCATCCGTTATGCAGATACTACACTTTTCCAGTTGCCAAACCTGAGGATTTTACAGAAGCTCTCTCATCTATATATGAAGAAAGTGAATATCAAAAATACTTATCTACACATTTCAATTCATCCAACATTTCTTCACTTTTATCATAGAGGAAAGATTTATCACTTCATGGCACTTCCTTTTGGTTTTACTTCAACTAATTATGTCTTCACACATGTAGTCAGAATCCTTGCTGGTCTTCTAGATGTATTCAATATTGATTTTCATAATTACATAAATGATTAGCTTATTCTTGCTCAATCATCTCTTCAATCATTGACTGGCTTTCAGTTCACCACCTCTTATCTTCTTACATGAGTTGAGTTATCCATGAGTTCAAGTCTTGCTTTTCACCAACTCAGTACTTAGTGCATCTGCAATTTTTGATTAACACATTTCAAGGAATTCTTCTTCTGTCTTTTATGGCTTTGCAATCCATGGAGTCTTTATGTATGCTTCTGTCTTCTTTTGCATCAGTCAAAGATGTCCTGTGTGCTTTGTGGAAATTGCTTTTTTTTTTTTAATGAGGCAATTCCCTTGGGTCTTGCTCACATAAGGCACCTTTAATGAGATCTTTCATCTCAGTGTCATCTTACATTAGATTCATAATTTCAGATAATTTTGGCTCAGTTGAGAGTTTACTACTGCAGAATTCCCTTTTCTTCCACTTCATCCAGTTCTGCACCTCTTTACAGATACTTCTCTCAAAAGTGGAGTGCTGTCTTGGAGAAACACCAGCTTTAAAGTTTTGTGTCTCTTCAGAGGTCAGTACCTCACATCAGACTTTTGGAACATTGGCCATTTCAGTGGGCTTGTCAAGATTTCCTATCCTTGCTACATCATCAAGGTGATTTAGTTTACTCAGACAATTTAGTGGTACTGGTGGAGTATATATGAACAATCATTTGTATTGCTGTGTTGTCTCTTCATCTGTGGCTCCAGTCACATCATACCCATCTCTAAGCCTGTTATGTGTGAGGTATTATGTACATTCTGGCAGGTTCTATTTCCAGAGATTTTAGCTTCTCCCTTCAGAGTGGACCTTGTACCTCTCAGCTGTGCCAACAGCTAGGTTGTCTTATGATCAATTCCTTTGTAACAAGAGACAACCATCTTCCTCTTTGCTAGTCTCCAGTTCCAGACTCCACGTTTCTAGCAGTGGATGCTTTAAGTCAGTCACAGGAAAATCTTTTCTTTATGCCTACCATCCTCTTTGTCTCCTTCCTTGGATATTGATCAAGTACAGTTACGTGGAATGTCAGGTTCTCTGCATTGCTCCACTCTGGTTGGCTCAACCATGGGTTTTTCCTACTATATTTTCTGCCTCAAGTGTCTTTTTACTTCTTTCAAGATACCTTCCGTGTCAACCCCATACATTCATCAACAGCGAGAGTCATATAGAGCTTCACAAGTGATTGTTATGCAGTTCTTTATTAGAAAAGCCAAATTCTTTCTTCTGTTGCTTGAGTCTTGGCAGTGTTCATCCCTGAATATCTACTAATCTTGCTTTGCTGTAATCATGATTTGGTGCCTTAGAAATTATTTTTCACATCTTTCTCCAACCCCACAACAAATTGCCTCATTTTTCACATTCTCATTTCCTGTTCATAGCTTAGCTATTATTTCTATTGCAGACTATAGAGTAGCTATATATGCCACAGAAGGAATCTTTCTCCACTTTATACTGATTTTTTTTTTTCAAAATTCATTGCTTAATTGGACTTGGATCTTATCTTATGAAGTTTGCTTTTGAACCTTTAGCAAATTGCTTATGCTTTTATTTTTCATTGAAGTTATGTATACTCTTTTCTGTTGTTAGCCCCAGGTAGGAGAAGGTCAGACATTTATGTCCTTGATGTTTCTTGTGCATTTTTTCTGAGAAGGCTCTCTACTCGTATCCTGACAGAACCTTCCTTTGAAAAACTTGGGCTGTGAGTGGAGATAAACACTTTTTTCACTAATTGTATTATTTACCCTGATGGACACAAATTATAATTTGGAAGAAGGGATGTTCATCGCTACATTGCAGGTGACGTGAAAAAGGTTATTTATGTTTTACATAAAATTTCATTCCATGGATCTTGTTCCATCCATGCTGACAAATTGTCTTGTGTAGCTAATCTGTCTTATTTATTGTGATGTATCTGAACACCTTATTAGTGATTTTCAGGTCACATGTTTTTGATTTCCCAGTCTATGTACCCATTAGAGGATAACTTAAAGGTTTAAATTTTATTGACATCACATTGCTGTCTTTTCAGCTTCAGAAATTTATTTGCCATCTGTGGTTATTCTTCAATACATATGGAATATATATCAGGTTATTTATTCTCTTTTAACTGCTTATTTATTCCCTGGGCCCATGTATATATATATATGAGGTATAAAGGCAACCCAGGTATTTTTGAACCACCCAACCCCCAAAATTATTTACTTGAATGATGCACCTAGGATACAAAATAATAACATGCACAAAGTAACCAATGTCCTATTACTATAATAATTTAACTGGCTTTCTAGCTAAGACAAAAGGGGCTTAAATTAATTCCCTTTGCTGCTTGACCTGAACACCTTGAGATAAACTTTCAAACTGAAGACAAAATTGACAATATTACTTACTGAAAACAATATAGCATTATATGTCCTTTGATGGGTTAGAACATTGCTTTTCTATTGGTTATAAATGATTTAGTATAACTCATCAGAAATAATTATTGGCCATTCGTAAAAAAAGAGGGTGGAGCAAGTGTGTCTGATTTCCATTTTATGACTACAATAAACAAATAAGATTGATAGATATAAACATTATACTTTGCCTTGGTAATATCTATATTATAATGAGTAATTTACATTCTGTACTTCAGAGTAAGGGGGATAAATAAATAGGAAAGGGGAAGATCTGGAGATCGAATGTCCTAATTCTCATACTAAAGGAGATAGAGGATTTTCTAAAAATATTTTATAAAATTAAGAACTTAAAACTTCAGTAATATTGAAATTTGATTTATTAACTATGTTTTGATGCCAAATTTATTCCTGTACATCAAAAACAAAGTAGTTTAATTAAATTTTTAATGTAACTATAAAAGTTCATGAAATGCGTACTTTAACCTACCCGTTGCAAGAGGTTTAACTCAGTCTTTATACAAGGCTGTTTCCCAGCACTCATTTTCCAGTTCTTTGATTATTTCTGGTGCTCCGTTTAATTCCAATTCTGCCTGAGTGCATCTTTAGTGTGATCTAGGTTGCCTTCCATTGTTGTAATATATATATATTTTCTATAATATTAACTCTTCCTATTGCCCACCTCCTTCTTAGTGTGTGTGTATTCTGGCTATCAGTATTTCTAAGATAGGTATAATGGATCTGGATTTTACATTTCAAGAAATAATGAATTACAAGAAGGTAGTTACCCATGAAATACATTACCACCCATCTACATACAACTGGGCAATATGCTGGTTTTCACGATGACTGCAACTAAGACATGTAAATTATAATGTGAAAGTAGAGTTTATGCAAGTTCTTATACATGCACAACATGTCACATGAAGGTTCTGGGAAAATTGGTACATGATTTTATTTTATATTAGTTTCAATCCTAAAAGTGAAATTCCGAATCTATTAAAAAGTTTAAATGACATGGTAATATTTAGTTAATCACTCTCTCTTTTTCTTTGTAAATGTGTGTATATATATATATAGTTAATTTAGTTGAGCTGTGTGTGTATAATTCTCTTGAAGTATGTAGGTAGATTGAGTAAGTGGATTGGTATAGGCAGAATGCCTAATTCATGAAAACTTGAAGAATGAACTATTGCAGTTTTGTGTGTAGTCACTATTACAAAATTCTTAGTTTAGTTGTCTGAGAGAGGAAGAAACACTACTCAGAAGAAGAAAAAAGTTTTGTTATTTTTACTGATTGAACTTTGGTGTGTGTGTGTGTGTGATGTATAATTTTTGGATGTCCTAAAGTATTAGATTGATCAGTATATATTTATTTTTACTGAAATGTCTATTTTGATTTCAGGTTCTACTCTGAAGTTTGAAACTGCTGTGCTCAATGTGTCAAATAGTGACATGTCGGCAAAAAGTGAAAGAAAAAAAGCCAGTCAAGATTCTTTTTCAAAAAATTATTGTAAGGTGTAAGTATATCATGAAAATGCTAATAAAAAATAGTTTGTTAGCCAGGTTTTTATCTATTAAATTTAATTCTGTTTAATTATTAAATGGCAGTTCAATAAGATTTGTTTTCAAAAGAATAGAAAAAAAGACTACGTAAAAATGTTCCTGAATCAAATGATGTTATCTTTTTTTTAGATAGTCAAAAATTTAGATTGGTGTAAACAGATGAATCTTGCTATGTGATTGATTTCTGAGGAATTTAATAATAGTTATCAATAATTTGTCAAGCTCGTTCCAAAATTCCAAACTTGATGTGAACAGTTTACACACACAGACTATTTTAATTACCAGTATTTATAAAAGTAAAATAAAAATATTTTCTTCTCATATTCAGTTCTTAAAATAATTGCTTACTTGATGGTTGATTAAAAATTGAAATAAGAATATGGTTGATTTTTATGAAATATTGAGACATGGTTGTTTTTCTGTAGTGCTAAATTCATTTGATTAAAAAATAATTAAGAATATGGTTGATTTTGTTGAAATATTGGTATAAATTTTTTTTCTATAGAACTACATCAGGTTATATGAACATTTACATTTGTTTTACTGTTTTGAGAGTCTGTAATGATCTTGCAAAAGTTAAAATAATTGTCATATACTTAAGTATTGATTACAGATATGTTTCTTTCAGGGGAGCATATGATGCTGGTGCAAATGGGTTATCTAAGAATTCTACAAGTTCTACATTTGTCAACTCTTGTGTACAGGATATTTTACCAGAACAGGTATGAATTTTGCTCTGTAACAACTGATGAGTGTCTTCATTAATTAGTCTGATCTCTGATTGTCAGTAATTTAAAAAAAGGTAAGAAATTACACCTAGAATCTTGTCAATTCAACAACAACCAAAAAAAATTAAAAGATTTTTTTCAGCTCAACCCTCCCCCCTTTTCTGTATTAACTCTCTCATGATGGCCTTGGTTGATTTGACCTAAAAGTTGAACTCAGTATGACCTTTATAGTTTCCATACTATAACTTTTAATGTTTTGTGTAGAGTCATGAAATTTTGCAAGCTTTCAGTAAGCATCAAGAGCCATTTATAGACAAAAAAAAAGTTGCAATTTTTAATGAATTATTTTCACTAAAAAATTTCTCCATGAATATGTGGAGTCAAAGTATTGACTGCTCTGAGTTCAAAGTGATTTTCATGTTAACTCTTTGACTATGGTCTGGGTGGAATCCACCCAGCTCATAACCATGAGAGCAGTCATTTTTATAATGTATGTGTATCTTCACGAAATTTTGCAGATTATCAATAAACATTACAAAGATTTCATACACAAAATATCAGATTTTTTTAATTACGTTTTAAGATGTTTAATTAAAGATTTGCCCATGCAT